TAAAGTGAGTGTGTACTCAGGGACAGATAACTCTGTCTATGATGGGGAAGAAAGGTAATAATCCTGTTTCCCCTGAGATTGGGTGAGGCAGAGATTAGGGAGGAGCAGGAAGAGAGGAAGAGAAAGAAACATGTCCATTTTAATAATAAATTGCAGTGGTAGAGCAGCAAGGGCTATGTTCAAGGCATAAGGTGGGACACTTAAAGAGGGCCTTTGCCTATTACCTAAAATGCCCTTCCTCCCAAGAGCCACAGTGTTTGTTCCTTTACTGATCTAATATCACTTTCTCAAACGGGCCTTACCTCTTCTCCCTAAATATAGAAATCCACACCCTTACCCCCAGAACTTTCTAGCACCTTTATTTGGCCTTATTTTTCTTCAGAACATTTACCATCTCAGAGTATCTTATACATATTTGTTTCACCAGAATGTGTACTTCATGAGAATTGCAACTTCATCTGTATTTTTTTTTGTAGCCCCAGTGTATAAAGATGTACTTGGAATATAGTTGGTGTTAGATAAATGTGTGTTGAATGAGTGATTAACTATAACAGATGATGTTATTCATCACTATTGCCATAATTTGACAGTGTTTATTGAAAATTATTAATTAGGATTAGGTCTAGGCGCATGGGGAATATCTGAAAACCAAATCAATTCCCTTCAAAGAGTAATCTGCTATGCATTAGCACACATACACACAGAGAAAGAAATAGAGAAATTTAGAAACTTTTCTGTGAGTCATTTTTCTTTGTTACCATGACAAAATACCTGAGAAAAACAGCTTAGAGAAGGAAAGAGTTATTTTGGCTCTTGGGTCAGAGGTTTCCGATCCATGGCCAACTGGATCCATTGCTATAGGCCATATAGCAGAGCTGCTTACCTCATGGCATGGGTAGGAGTGGGGGTGGGATGCAAGCACCAGGAACAAGATACAACCTTCCAGGGCATGTCCCCACTGAGCTACTTCCTCCAACTAGGCCCACCTTCTATAGTTTCCATCATCTCTTAATAATGTCAGCAAATTAATCCATCAGTAGATTAATCCACTGATGAGGTTAGAGTTCCCCTGTGATCCACTCACTTCCCTGAAGTTTCACCTCTGAACATTGCTGCATGGAGAACCAAGCCTTCAACACATAAGCTATTGGGAAATATTCCAGATCCAAACCACAACAACTCTGTGGTGTACAGTTCTATGAGCAATCAAGGACAATCCAGAGTGTTCTTTCCTACTTTCTCAGCACAATGCTTTTGACACCACATCTATAGGGGAGGAGGCTTCTTTCCATACACCAACTATCTCCCCAGCAGAGCCAGGTGGGTGTTCCCCAATTCCATTTTGACACCACCTATGTTGGAGATAACACCAGATCATTCCCAGAAGGCTGATGCCCCCACTTCAGATGCCAGTCAAAAGCCCCGAGTCCTGACCTGTGCTTTTTTTTTTTTGGTACCAGGGATTAAACTCAGGGGCACTTAACCACTGAGTCACATCCCCAGCCCTATAGGCCATATAGCAGAGCTGCTCACCTCATGGCATCACCCCATTAGCAGAAATTAGAGGCTTTTAAACAGGTGACTTAAAGGCTACATTCCCTGTGTTCTCTGTTGGAGTTGTGATTCACTTGTTAATTTGGGAGATATTCATTTCTGAGATCTTCTGGTGCTATCCCCAAAGTCTGGATAATTTCATTCCTAAAGTGAGTGTGTACTCAGGGACAGATAACTCTGTCTATGATGGGGAAGAAAGGTAATAATCCTGTTTGACCTCTTTGGTATTCCTTGAGCAGGCCAAGCAAAGGTCCTGCCTCACGGTGTTGCGGAAAGCCATGAGGTGAGCAGCTCTGCTATATGGCCTATAGCAATGTTCTCACTGAGTTGCTTAGGACCTCTCTCTTGCTGAGGCTGGCTTTGAACTCGTGATCCTCTTGCCTCCCAAGTCACTGGGATTACAGGTGTGCACCACTGCACCTGGCTTTGACCTATGCTTTTGACCGGCTAAAAATCAGGGTTTCCAGGACACCCTCCTCAGCTTTAATTTATTATTGTGACTTACAGAACTCAGGGTCATGCTTTACTTAATATCCTTTACTATTATAAAGGATATTACAAAGGATATGGATGAATAGCCACATGGAAAAGATGCAATAAAGACATCTGAGAAGGTATATGGAAGCTCCACCGTTGGCCATTGATTATCTACTTGGCCATTGGTTATCTATGGAGCCTTCAGCCCTGCTCCCTTCCCCAGTGGTGGGAGGAATGGAGGGGTTGCTGAAAGCTCCAGCCTCTCATCTTTGATGTCCCTTGGTGGGTCCCCTATCCCTGCCCCCATAACCAGCCTCCCTCCCGAGGCTGCCCAGGAGCACCCTCTTCAGTCATCTCATTAGCATACAGGAAGACACTTATTACTTTGGAAATCTCAAGGGTTTCAGGAGCTATGTTCCAGAAACCAAGCAGAGATCAAATATGCACAGTATTTATCATATCACAGTATCATGATAGTCCTAAGGTATAATCCGTCATTATTATTGGAGTCTTCAACTAAAACAGTGCTTTGTGGTCTAGGTGCTAACATGAGGAAGAATTTCAAAGCAGAATTAAATCACCTAGTAACCGAAGTTAATGTCAATTTGAGAATACATTTCCATTTTGACTTGAAGTCTTAATATGTGTGATAAAAGAATTAGCCACAAACCAATTAAGAACATGGATGTGGTTTTCTCTAACTGGAAAATATTCAAAGGTGCCCCACTTACCTATAACCGTAGTTGTCATTTCCTTATTTTCACATTTGAATTCTTCTTTAATATAAGGTTAGCATATCTTCTAGTAAGTTCTCTGTTAGTGGGGCCTAGCAGGCATTTGAACCTAAGTCTGTCTTTAAAACCAAAGCTCTGTTAGTGTATTTACGCTCCCTTTTATTTCATAAAGAATACAAGTCAGTTACATAAACAAGGCATAATTTAATTTTATTTTGTGGTATGGGTACTGAGCTCAGGGTTCTCTATCACTGAGCTATATCCCTTCCTTCTTATTTTTTTATTTTGAGATAGGGGTTCACTAAGGCTGGCCTTCAACTTGTGACCCTCCTGCCTCAGCCTCCTGGCTGGGTTTACAGGTGTGCACCATTATACCCAGCCATAGTTTAACTTTAGATACAAGCAACAGCCTTCTGCTCCTTGCTTTTTTTTCTCATTTACTCATTTATTTAGGATAACAACAACGCTACTCTATCATCCTTATTTTACAGATGATTAAACTGAAGTATATAGTGGTTAAGTAACTTGCCCCAAGTCCTACACCTTATCAAAGGGCCTAACAGGCATTCGAAATTAGGGCTCTCTGTAAAACCCAAGCCCTGTGTTTTAAATTACCATGATATGTCTTTCTTATTACCCCATGGTATTGGTAGTCACCTCACTGCTGGTGAGAGGAAAGAGGCAGTACTGGAAAATGCACTTGAACTTGACCTAAGGGCACAAGAATAGTTGTTGTACCTGCAAGTATGTAGCCCCTTCCCACACCCCAAGGACTATCAACCTGAGAGGTTGTCTTGCTCCTCTATAGATAAAGATTGATTTAATTTCTGAAGCATTTTAATTCATAGATGACTTTGTTGGTGGTAGCCTAAGGCAAGCATGTCATTTGAATTCTGAAAGATGTAAGTGGCTGGGAGACTGTGGGGCTGAAGAAATTTAGGATTATTGAAAAGAATACAGTAATAACAGGACCCAGAGAGGAAGGAACCCTAGGGATGAGATGATAGTGATTTTCAAGTTTATCTTCCCCACAGATCTTATCAAGCCAGTCTCCTGGGACAGAGAACAATTGACAGTGTTAGGTAAAGAAATAGGGTTGGAGCTGCTTCAGTAGCATAAACACCATAATTAGAATAATACAAAGACCATGCACAGGACCTGTGATCAAAGATGATATGCAAATTTGTGAAGTATTTCCACTCATTAAAAGTAAGAATTTAGAATACTCAGTTTTCATTGTTTTTCAAATTCCAAGGCCATTTTCCTTCTAAATTAGTATATATGTATTATTAGATTTCACAGTATAATACAATTAGAAGTCTATAAATAAGGTGTCAAATGGATAATATAAAGCCTAAACTATCACCATAGTCTCAAAACAGGAAGGAAAGATAAAAAAGAATATTTTAAAGCATGCTTACCCTTCTTGGTAACTGGTTGGCTCTTACGAGTGACAGAAAGTTATTAAGAATGGTGAGGTTTAACTTCCTATCCTTGTGGTTCCCATTCCCATTCTTCCAATTATGTAGAGTTACACCATATATGAACATAGGAATGTCATCCTCACCCTTCACCCTACTCCTGGCAGAAATGTCTGACTTCAGAATCCCTGCACTGAACCCGTGCAACCCTTGCTCCAAGAGGCAGCTCTTTTATTCCAAGCCATGTCAGGACTGACTTGATCAATGGGCACAGTAAGCACACTGCCTATGCCTCACATGCTTTTGGGGAGTCCATGAAAATATTTAATTTCCTTTAAAATCAGAAGAGAAAAATGAACTGTTAGGATAAATAAAATGGTTTAATATATAATAATAATATATTTTTCTTTATATCAACACGGTTTTAAAACAATAGTCTGTGATTATAAGCACGTGTATGTATGTATGTATACATGTACATATGTGTGTTTATACATATTTTATATATTTCTATTTACACACACTTTTTTTAATGGAGAAAAAAAGGTCTTATGAAGGCCAAAGTGTTTAGATCCAAATGAAGTCATAACGTGGCCCTTGTCAGATTTGAATTTGTTTTTAAAAATTCAGAAAATGAAATCAAATTTGCTTAATTTCAGTAAAAGATTATATATCTGAAAGCAGATTTTAAATGGTGGCATCAAAAACTTTGGGATGTGGGATGGAGCCCCAGGACTACCAAAAAAAAAAAAATCTGAAAAAATGAGTTCAAACTGAATAGAAGTTGGTGATTTTTTTTCCTTCTTTTTTCAAGTTTAGAGACAGAAGAAGAGCAACAGTATCTTGCCACAAACTGTATTAACATCTCCATGGACTCACTGCAAGCAGGCAGGCAGTATTTGGTTTGGGTTCAAGCTGCAAATGCATTAGGCGTGGAGGAGTCAGAACCACTCCAGATCCATCTGGATGATATAGGTAAAGAACAAGCAACTCCATAGTGTCTTTAATGATAGACAACTACTTGTGCTAACCTAGTCAATGAAGTCTAGATCTGAAAGAAGATTCTGCATATCATGATGGATAAAATAGATATCATTCGTAATTCCTCCTGCCCAAAGCAACTTGGAGATGAAAGTTGCCAACAGCAAGCCAACCATGCTATTGTATACCCTTCCTGTCTGATTTCTACTTAGGTGTATGTGCTTACAGTTCACATACATGTATGTGAATTGTGCTTACAGTTCTGTTGGGAACTTCCTGTTTCCAAGTGTTTTTCTAAGGGCCAGGGACAGTAAGATAGACAAGGAAAGTGCTCTATAATAATTTGCAATCTACCAAGGAGGAGAAACAAGGATTAAAATAAATTATGATGTGTCTTATATTGTGAGAAGTACAGCATACTAGGAAATTACTCTCTATACACTATCTGGGGCTTACAAGGGGGATTTTGTCTTCATCTTTACATATTATAAAATACAATGAAAATTACAGCAAATTTTATAGACATCCATAAGTTGACAGTCAGATATAACAAATGTTAGGATGTTTTGCTTCAGATATTTTTAGATCTTAATTCTTTTACATAAAATATATAATAAACATTTCTATCAACTTAATCTACAATATTATTTTTAGTGTTGTCTGAGTATAGAATAGTTTAATCCCTTCTTATGGAGGTTTATGGTGTTTTCAATTTCTCATCATTATAAACTATATTACCATGAACACCTTATTGCTAAATTATATTATTATAAAATAATAATATCTTTATTATTTTCTAAAAATAAATTCCAAAAAGTGGGGCTGGGGTTGTGCCTCAGTGATAGAGTGCTTGCCTAGCACATGTGAGGCACTGGGTTCAATCCTCAGCACCACATAAAAATAAGTAAATAAATAAATAAAAGTATGGAAAAGCATACAGTGCTTATACATTAAAAAAAATTCAAAAAGTAATTATCCTTAAGCTTCTTACAATTACACCCAAGCCCTAAAATCAGAACTCAGAGCATCAAGTAGGAATTGCTCTGCCTTTAAAGGTCCTAGCACCAATGATTCCTCATGTGCTAATTGCTTTTACATCCTATTTTGTAGAAGATATTATAATTTGCATAAGGAAAGCAAGGCTTGGTGGCATTAAAAATGTTTACATTACAGAGCTAGGGATTGCTTAATTCCAATCTTCTTGAATCTTGTCCTTAGACTTTATGAGAATTTTTTTAAAAAATCATAATGTGTCTGAAAACTTTCCTGCTGAATGGCGTATGGGAAGTGAAGCCTTCTCTTGGGGTACCACACAGGTAGGTACTCTTTGGGCATCACTGCAGTCTTCTATAGCAAGTAATATCTCAACTTCTAAACTAACCACAACTAGCTCAGATAACTAGATTGTCTAAGAATCTGTCCCATGCTCTGAATACTGGATTTGGCTATGGTGATGAACACCAGAGCCATTTCTTTGTATATTCTTGGAGTTGTAGTTCTCTTCATCACGATCTACACATTTTTGCAAGTTTGTATTTTGAGGTAGAATGCAATAATATATCCTTTTTTTGAAAGCAGATTCCTCTTGATGGATTAATGAAGTAGAAAGGCTGTTATGACTGGTGCCCTTTTTAGGAATAATTATAACCAGTAAATGATAATTCTAAATTATGACCAGGAGTAGTATTACTGTTGTTGTTATCATTTTGATCTTAATATCATCTCACCTGTTTATTGAACACCTATTGTGTTTCGAACACTTAACATACATATCACATTTAATTTTGGAAACAAGCATATATGGTAGTACTGTCCCATTTTATAGATGAGGAAAAGTGATAAAAATTTCTCCCTAGGCCAGTTTCTAAATTCCTAAGAATTTCTTTCTTTTTCTAGTGATTCCTTCTGCATCCATCATCGCAAGAGCTGAAACTATAAATGCTACAGTAGCCAAGACCATAATTCACTGGAATAGTGAAACAACAATTGAAAAGGTTTCCTGTGAAATGAGACATAAGGCTACAATAAACCAAACTTGGAATGTAAGCTAAATTTTCATTATTCTTTAGCATGTGAGTGAATGGTTTAAAAGAAAAGCCTACTCCCAGTGTTCACAGTGGACTCATTAATGATTTATTTTACATGTTTCTGATTATTTGTGTGATTTTCAAACTACTCTAGTTTTTTTTTTTTTTTTTTGATGTGGTTTGGTTTGGGTTTCTTGGTACCAGGGATTGAACCCAGAGGTGCTTTCCTACTGAGCTACATCCCCAGCCCTTTTAAATTTTATTTTGAGAAAGATTCTAGCTAAGTTGCTGAGGCTGACCTCAAAATTGTCATCCTCCTGCCTCAGCCACTGGAGTCACTGGGATTACAGGCATGTGCTATCTCACTGGGCTCAAGCCACTCTAGCTTTAATAATGATTGCCATATGCTTCCAGAGAGCTATTTCCTGAAAAAGATCCTCATCCCTTTTGTAAATTGTTAAACAAACCAAATATACAACTAAAGAGGAATCTAATTTTAGTTCCTTGTAATTAATTCACTGTCTCTTAGGGGAAATTTACATCTATGATCCTGGATATAAAATTTAAATATTCTATGCTAAAATCTGACAGGCATCCAGGGAAATTAAAAATTGTTCAGAATGGAAAACTTAGACTTAAGGATCTCTCTCTCTCTCTCTCTCTCTCTCTCTCTCTCTCTCTCTCTCAATATTTTTTAGTTGTAAATGGATCTTTTAATTAATTATTAATTAATATGCAGTGCTGAGTATCAAACCCAGGACCTCACACATGCCAGGCAAGTGCTTTACCACTGAGCCACAACTCCAGCCCCAAGAATGTCTCTTTTTAAATAAAAAATGTACAATTCATAGTGGAAAACTCATTACTAATACAGGCCTCAGCCTTGGATTAACTTAAAACAAAAACTGAATATCTAGAAAACAAACTATTCTTAAGTACCAAGTGCAAATTTATCAAGTGGGGAGAGGCACAGATATAAGCCTCCTTAATAAATTTATGTGACAGCACCAATATAATTAAAACTCACTAATTTGAACTTGTATGACTTAGAGGAAAGTTCCAATTTTGGTGTATTCAAAAAGACATGACATTTCATTATTTTCAAATATAATAAATTGCCATTCAGTCCAAAAATAAATAAATAAATAAATAAATAAATAAATAAGGGATGGAGTTTATGGCTTTGAAAGAGTTCTGTATCAGCTTTGGGTAACCAGTTTTCAGGAAGTGAAATAAAATGATGTGTAGTTAACACCAAAACATTCATTAAACACAATTCAGTTTTAATTTGGTCATTAGCATGACCTCAAGCCTTCTATCATCTTTAGCTTCATCATTTTGAACATTATTTTTGCTGTAGCATGATATATTTTTTAAGTGTCAAGAAGATAAGGGTAAAACTATATAATTTCATGACATATCCCAAAGATACTTATTTAGAAATAAACTCCTGATGTCCATGCTTGCTTAAATCCTCCAAGTGAACTTTTTAGTTGTTGGCATTATGACTGCTGAGTTTATGTTCTGTATTGTTTGATCAATGAAGAAGTGAAGATCCTACTGGACTCCTATTACATCTGTGGAATTTAGGTAAATCTCAAAATACCCGCACCAAATTCTTGAGTCTTAGATTTTGAGTTAATAAGATGTTACTCATTTAGGACTTTAGAAATCATGGTCAGAAGATGCTTCTGAGTATCTTAATCTCATTTTTTTTTCCATAAATAAGAGGAGATAAAAGAGTATCAGGCTGTTCAAAGTCAAGCTAGGTTTTTCCAAACTGACAGAGTCAGTAGCTAAGTGTTTCCCACAGACCCTTCATCCCTTTAGGCACCAAAGGAATATTTGGAAAATGAAAGGACGGGTTTCAATCCATATTTCATCCTTCCTACCATGCTTTTTCTAAATACAACTACCACAGAAAAAAAAGGATTTACCATTTCTTAGTAGATTCCCCAAGTCATGTCAGCAATAGGGAGGAGGAAGCTTTACTCTGCACTTGATAGCATTAATACTTCTGGGTTTTGCATAAAGTGTTGTCTTTGACTCCATGATGGGGGGATAGAAAAGCCAGAGCCAAAAGGAGTGGGAGGACTCAAAGGACTGCAGGTCCCTCTTCTACCTCAGCTCTGCGGTGAAATTGCTTCCTGTCAGATATTGCTGGAGGAGGGCTGTTCTTTACCTTACAGTGACAGGCGGCCATCTCTGGAAAGCCTTGTGGCTGAGATCACAAGCTCTGCAGTTCAAAGCCTGGCTCTGCTGCTTTGTAGTTGTGCAACCTTGAGAAGCTCCTTATCCTCCCTGTGCCTCATTATTCCCATGTGTGAAATGGGGATAAGAAAAGCCCCTACCTGGTTTGGATGTGTGTGGTGTGGTGAGGTGGGGTGGGGGTGGGGGATCAAATGGTGTAGGGAACTAGTTCAGAATGGAATAGGGTCAATATTCAGTGCCTGCTAGTTGTTATTTTTACTCTTTATCTTAACCTGCAGAGGTTAGCCTTGCTACAGAGGTGCTAGTGCCAAGCAATCTGTCTGAAAAAGCAGGGTACTGAAGGTGTTTTCTGCCTCTTTAAAGTTAAGCTGCTTACCGTGAGGTCTCAAAAGGAACCTGTCAGTCCTTCCTATAATCCTGCAAGGCTCAGGCTGCCAGGCAGAAGTTTGATCTACTGGTTTGATGACTTGGTTCCAATCCAAGTCAAAGCCTCAGATTTCATCCTTGCAGATTGAACTGCATTTGAGGGAAACATTTACAAACATCTTGCCCCACCTTATTAGTCTTGGCCCTTTCTTTCTTTCTTTCTTTTAATATTTTATATTTATATGGTGCTGAGGATCTAACCCAGTGCCTCGCACATGCTAGGTGAGTGCTCTACCTCTTGAGCCACAACCCCAGCCCAGAGTCTTGGCCCTTTCTTGACTTCTCAAGTAGTATAGCTGAGACTAAGCTGGAGTATGTAATGAAGATTCAAGTAAAGTTTCAGAAATAGCAAAATGAAAATAAGCGTCTCTGAGAAAAACTAGCTACTGTGCAATCTAGATTACAAAATAAGACCCGCTCCTAAAATTAGTAGGCTCTATTCAGTCTAACTCAAGCTTTTTTTGTGTGCAGTAGACCTCACCTTGGCAATCACAGCAAGGAGCTCCCTCCTACATATCGACCCTCCCAGTCTGTAGGATAGGGAGAGCAGTTTCTGTAAATAGAGGCTTCTGTTTTATTTAAATCCTGTCTTCTGGGATCTGATTATGTTTAAGAACAATTGTCCTACATAGGTGTTTTATACCAGGACTGATTATCCTCTTCAAAAGGAAGTTATACATGTGTATGTGATCCTTACCTTTGGGTCTTGAAGAAAACAACATAGTCAGCCTCTCCTAAAAGAAATGCATGCACAGTAGCAGTGAAGTCATCTTGCGTCACCTAAAGGTATCCTATAAATTGCACAGCTAAACAAAGCCATCTCCACATTTGTTAATCAGCTGACAATCAATACTGGACCCCAGTACAAGCTACAAAATTTTAGGAGATCTGCTTTCCACCAATTAAATACCTAAGTTTTAGTACTTGAAATTTTCTCCCGGGTTTTCATTATTTCTTAAATTGCATATCAGTCATCTACTGCTACAATAATGGATAGCAAACTGCCACAAAAACTGAAGAGACACACAACAGTAAGCATTTGTTCCTCTCTGTCATGGGGTCCAGCCCGGCAGGGTTGAGCTTCACTGGTATGGGACATGTGTTTGCAGGTCCACTGGCTTGCTCACATGTCTCAACATGGGTTCTCTCCAAGTCCTCCTCCCGAGACCAGTGGGCTAGCCTGGGCATGCTCTTTTCATGGTGATGGCAGAGGACAAGAGTACCCGAGCCCAATCACTGCCTTGCCTTTCAGTCCTATATTTAAGCCCGGGTTCAGTGTAAGAGCACACTCAAAGCCATAAGGCCATGTGACAAAGACAGAGGTAACCAGCAGGGAAAAGGCCTGGGCCATCACAGAAATCTCCCTCTGGAGAATGTCATCCGCATTCTCTCTACCCTGCTGGAAATAGCTGCTATGAGGACACCACTATCTTTAAACGACAAAGGCTGAGAACCTTGCAGTGCTCACCCTGCGCTAACTCTTGACTCTGTTGACTACCTGCTCCTTGAGCATGTCATGCCACTTGGTTTTCAGGAAGGTCTTTGTTCCCTAACCATATCTCTAGCTGCCCTTTCCTTTGCAAACCCTCTTCTCTGCCAACTCCCTAAGCATGAACACTCCCTTTGAGATAGGAACTGGGGGATACAGAAAAAGAAAGGTATGCTGAATCCCCAAAGAGAAGCACCTATGAACTTTTGGAATGCAGGAAATGCCCGTGAACCTTTGAAACTCAAAGGAGGCAACTCATGAGAAACTTAGCTCACATCCTTGGCTTATGTCCTTGGACCTCATCTGGAGGGCAATATTCAGGGAAGTATAGGGAAGGCTGGTGAAATTGTGTGACTACCCTGATTCTACCTCTAGTTCAATCCCTAGCTATGTTTCTTTATAAATAGTAACACCCCAGACCAGGGCATTGCTACCTGGCTCCTTGGAGCTGGCTTGCATTTTCCCTTGAATGTGTATTACTTGCTTTGTCCCAAAAGATGTCACTCTTCAGATAGTCCGAATTCTCCCTTGAATGTGTATCTGCTTTCCTAAATAGATTTGTCTGCTTTTGACTGGCATTCGCTGAAATTCTCTTCCACCATGTACACCAAAGATGCCACTTATCCTAAGTTGAGTCCTGCTCTCCAAGAACTCTTCCATGACACTTCTATGCCTACAGTCTCTCTCTCTCTCCTCTCTTTGTAGCTCTTTTCACCCCATCCCCGGGCCTCTGCCACACCTGTAGGCTGGAACTTGGAGCCCAACCAGCTCTCAGAACATCAAACCTACACTTGTAACCTGTCGGTTATTTTCATGGTCTGTCTCACTGCACCTAAGCTCCTGTCAAGATGAGCTCATAAGCAATAATCCATGCTCACTTCCCTGTCCCTATTTCAGGAGCATTTGCCACATGGTATATACTTTTATATACTGTTTATATATTTATGTCCTTTTGCTTAATCTATGAGCTCCTACAGGGGTGGCTTTATCCTAACCATTTTTGTATTGCTGTTTATTTTTATAATGTTAAGTCCATATGGATAGTATTCTACATATTAGCTATTACTGTTATTTGCCTTTAATGTGCCTAACCTCGGTAATAGTAATACAGGGGGCCTAGATTATAAATTTAGGTAAATGGATTAGTGATGACTGGATTCTCTAATTAAGATAGACCAGGCTATTGATAAACTTTTTATTCAAGGGTCAAACAGTAAAATTTTAGTTTTCACAGGACATAAGGTTTCTGTCCTAACTCGTCATCTCTGTTTGTATAGCCTGAAAGCACTCACAGACAATATATAAATGATTGAACATAACTGTGTTCCAATATGATTTTATTTTTGGAAACTGTGATTTGAATTTTATATAATTTCTATGCATCATGAAATAGTCTTCTTTTCATTTTTTTTCAACCATTTAAAAATGTAAAAACTATTCTTAGCATAGGCTGCACAAAATCAAGTATTGATTCTTTTCCTGGAAGGGTTGATAGAACTGTACCCAGATTGCAAAGGATCAAACCTTTGACTTTTGTTTTTCAAAATGTTTTTGCTATAGTACTCAGCCTTAAAAAAGAATGAAATTATGGCATTTGCTGGCAAATGAATAGAACTGGAGAATATCATGCTAAGTGAAATAAGCCAAAATCAAAAAACCAAAGGCCAGATGTTTTCTCTGGTATATGGATGCTAATTCACAATAAGGGGGAAGGGTCAAGGGAAGAATAAAGGTACTTTAGATTACATAGAAGAGAGTGAAGGTAGGGGAGGGGTATGTGGGCAGGAGGGATAGTAGAATGAATCAGACATTATTACCCTGCACACATATATGACTACATGACGTTATGCTGCATTTATTCTACTGTCATGTATAACTAATCAAAACATATTTTTAAAAAGACATGGGGAAAAAAAGTTTTTGCTAGTATAAACAGAAGATTTGGAAGAACATGTGATTAGTCACAGCTAAATTTCCCAGTCACCACCCTGCTTCTCTCTTCACCAAACCCTGGATTCAAATAATTTGTCAATGAGATGGGAAGATTAGAGATGAGGGGAACAGGAAAGAAACCAAGAACCAGACACTGGTGGGCTACGGAGGAGGACCCTGTACCTTGAGCCATGTCCCAAGTCTGTATCATGGGAGGTAGGGATTATAGAACTTTCTGGGTAGGTTGGAGATGCTTCTCACCCTACCAAGAATGTTCTCAGGAACTTAGATGCAACCCTAAGAAAGAATGTGCTTCAAACTGATGGAAGCAAAGTTTCAATACTCTCCAACCTTCAGATGAGGCTGTAAATAGACATGAACTATTGTTAAAAAATGAAGTTACATTTCCTGCGCTCTTGAGGTAGACCCTCTACACAGTCACTGATGAGGTCTAGTTCTCTCGATAATCATTTTGGCCTCTTGAGGCATCATCTCTCCTTTGCAAGAAGGCCCTAAGCAGTTACCTGATTTGCCTCATTATAGAAACAGCTGGTAACAGTTGTATAAAATTCTTTCTCATTTATATTGAAATCTATAAAAACAAATTCAAATATATAAAGGTAGAGACAAAAACAGCTGTTCCCAGGGCAGGAATGGAGGGATGGGAGGATTAGAGTTCAGAGGATACTAAGTAGCAGAGATGAAGGATGAAGAAATCTAGAGACTTACTACAGAACATGAGGACTGTGGGTAATAAAATTGTATTTGTACATAAGATGTGTGCCAACTGAGTCAGTTTTGGCTGTTCGTGCCACAAAAACAAGAAAAATGGATAACAATGTGAGATGATGAATATGTTAATTTGTTTTTTATTATGTGAAACATCCCATCACATCATGTATACTTTACATATACACAGTAATATTTATTTTTAAAGAATTCTTTCTATTTGGAATTCTTACTGTACTTAAGGGCATTTCTTTTCTTCAGGAAGACTTACCTAAAAACAAAATAGTAAGTGACATATTGGAGAATCACAACTCCTTCACAAGAGTAGCTGGTCCCAAGCAGAGCGCATTTGAAAGTCAAATCTTCAGCACAATTCAAATCTCTCTTGGATCCCAGGAGACCCCAGGTTCCAGGCATATTTGTACAACAGACAATTCTGAGGGCCAGGAGTTATGGAAACTTGAATGATCTCTTTCAGGGAACCCAGCATCCTCAAAACATATTTTCATGAATTTTACATTTTCAATGCATTACAAGTTTTAAAGATTGATGTTAAGATTGGGTTTTGAAAGAAGAATCCCTGGTTGAGGTTGATAACCATGCTTTCATCTTTTCTTCCTTTTTCAATTGTGTATTTATTTTTTGTCCTGATGGTTTTAACTTTATCTTTCATGAGGCTCTGGCAACTGTTTTCTCTTGTGCTTGCATAAATGCATTTCTAGACATATTTTATGTCTGCCTTTCAATCATGCCTCACTTTTTTCAGTAAACCACTTACTATAGCACACTGAAAATTCTCTGCAGATGCCTTGGCTTCTCTCTCCCAGCAGAAACAACCGGTTGGGGAGTCATTTTTTTCATTATGTTCTATTGTTGGTTGTAATTCCCCAGGAAAAAAACAATTGTAAATCTATTACTCAGGTATTTTGTTTCTTATTTCCATTGGATTTTTCTAATTCAGCATTCTCAAATGTTTCTCTCTCTTTTCTCATTTACACATATACACATGCACATACACTAGGTCTTCCAGAATTTGCATAAATCTGCAATAAGGGCCAATTTAATAGCTTAGCTTATCAGTAACTTTTTTTTCTAAAAGTAATCATGAGCAAGTGAAATTATCTCATCATTTAAAAAATTACTGATCTAAATAATTAAATTAGGGCAGTTTCAAAAGCTATCAGGTCCTTCATCCCCCCCTCCTCATTAAAATCACGTATTCCAATATTTAAAATGTATTACATTTTGGACTTTCTTGAAATTTAGGAGGAGCCTTTATAGAAAGAGAGTTGTTGAACACATGCAATGTTAATTTCACTCTTAATGTTTAAAATACATATTTGATTATATATATTTTATACAAAATGCTTCATCCTTTGTTTTCCCAGGGTCTAGAAGAGTCCTGGAATACAGTAGGGGCTGTCCTGGAATACAGCTCCATACATTGCTGCTAAGTGGAATAACTGTTTTAAAAGCACATGATATATATCATCTGGTTATTATTGCATATCTATTTCAGATTAAAGAATTTGATACCAACTTTACATATGAACAAAAATCAGAATTCTACTTGGAGCCAAACATTAAGTTTGTATTTCAAGTGAGATGTCAAGCAACAGGTAAAAAGCACTGGCAACCCTGGAGCTCACCCTTTTTTTATAAGACACCTGAAACAGGTGAGCGTACTTACATATTTAATTCTTCAAGTCTCTTCTTCTGTCCTTTGATTCTTTTCTTAGTGCATACACTTTTTCTGCTTAACTTCTGCCAAAATTGACAAACTATTACAGGTAAGTGGTAAATTATCCTTTTGCCTTGACAGCAAATTAAAAATTGGTTCTTGAATATTCCTGGGCATAAGAACTAACTGGGGGCACTTGTTTAAGAAGGTGCTCATAATCCCTGCACCCCAAAGAGTTTGATCCACAAGTAGTGGGTGGGAGGTTCTCACAGGTCAGAATTTCTTACAAACACTGGGTGATTGCAAAGCATGTAATTATCTAAGATCTTATTTTGAAAAACATTAAGAATTAAAAATATATATTCTTTTAAAAGACACACAAATCAAATAATAACAATGTAAGTATTGATAAATACTACTATATGCAAAGCAATTGGGAGATAAAGCACTTAAACATGGGATTAATTAGTTCTCAACAAGGTCTAGATGATCCTTAGAAATTTTCCTATTCCAAAGATTATTAGTTTAATTTCATATGCATTTATTCATGTCACTCAATAACAATTTGTAATTAAATGGAGTTTAATGGTAGCAAATAATAAAATAAATCTATTATAGTTGTTGTAATAGTCCATAATGGCCCCATAAACTGAAGCTGTCTCCCTACTGTAGGTAGTTTATATGTTAGGTTTCAATATTTCTTTTCAGAAATGAAGGTCTGGCTAGGCTTGGTCGCGCACCTGTAATCCTAGCAGCTCAGGAAGCTGAGTCCGGAAAATCACTGACTCAGTGGTTTAATTTAATAAGACAGCCTCAGCACTTAGTGAGGCCCTAAGCAATTTATCAAGACTCTGTCTCAAAAAAATAAATAAATAAAAATAAATAAATAAATAGGGCTGGGAATTGTGGCTCAGTGATTAAGCCCCTCTGGGTTCAATCCCTAGTACCAAAAAAAAAAAAAAAGGCTTTAATTATAATCACAGTACTGTTAACATCATCTTTATTGTAACGTCTTGTAATTGTGTTTTATATTTTCAAAGCACTTTGACATACATTATAAATATTCATGGATGCCAAATAAGTAGAGGGAGCCAAGAGCCAGAGTAGCCAAACAGTTCTTTTGGCGCCCCCTAATGCCCAGATGATGGAAATACAGAAATACATTATCAATGGAATTATTTTCAATAATGAATTATCGGTTCTCTCTTTTGAAAGTTAATTTATAACTTCAAGTATCCTGTTTTGAGTTGATATTTCTAAGAATTCTTACAACTTTAGATACCAACTTATATAATTTAGTTGGTAATTTAATATTTTTAAATGAAATCAAGAATTATTTAGCAAGATTATTCAAATTGATAACTAACATTTACTTACCACTTACAAAGTACTACTGTATATAAGCTTGTTTGATTTTTACATCAACCATGTAATTCACACCATTTTACAAATGCAAAAACTGAGGCATGGCTTGCTAAATAGCATGATAGCACCTAATTACTCAAACACTGTGTGTTCTCCCCACCACTCCTCAGCAGCCTCATCAGATTTTTCAGCACATACATCAAGGTGAAGGGGAAAACAATATGAATACTCTACAAGTTCAGTAAAAGGCTGCAAATGTCTTTCTTTAAGGGTAAAATTTTCAATTGGAGATACAAGAGACTAAGAATACCAAAGCTACCCTACAACAATCTAAACTTAAAATCCTTTGTTTCCTTAGAAGAAAAATCACTCAAGGGGTAAAATTAAATATCCCTGAAAACTTGCATTTATCCAAGTTCTACGTGTTGGCTGAGGGGAACCATAGGTTATTCTCTTGACACAAATCTCTTTCTAAGACATATTAAATTAGAAACAATGAAAGTGTCAGGGAAAGTACAAATATTAAATCTTTTTGAAAACATTTCTGTTTGTAAAAGCAATTCAAGTCTATCATAATATACAGCTTAGAAGTACCTGCTATTTACATTTTAATGAATTTAATACTAACTTTTTTCTATGCACCTATTTTTTAATGGTTGGTGCTATGGTGTACATACTGTTTTGTTTACTGATTTGCTCACTTAATTCACCTTGTAGAGTTTTTAAAACCCTACTTAATGGCTGCACAGCATTCTAGTTTTTGAATGTATTATAATTCATTTAATCATTTCCTTATTTAAACAACATCTAGGTTCTTTTTTATTTTCAATAAGCTTCTTTGAATAGATTTACATATAAACTCCCATTTCTCCTGATCTAAAGATATTTTTGAATTAAGAGTTAAGCACATTTTGAGATGTTGATGCATTCTACCAATGGCTTTTTAGCACATCTTTAGTAGTGATTGGTTTTTACAAAAAGTATCCGTGGAAAGGCAATTATTCACTTATTCATGAAGGACTCATTTAGCCTCTACTACATGCCAGGCACTTCCTAGGTGCTTGGGAACCTCAGCAAACAAAGGAGACAAAGATCTCTGCCTTGAAGAAGTCTCATTCTAAAGAAGACAGAAAATGAAAATCAAGCATAATAATTGCATAAGTTACATAGCATTATAAATAAAAATATAAATTGAAGCAGTAAGAACCAAACTTCACATCTGACGTATAAATTGCCTTATGATTGAAAAACACTAAAAAGATATAGTTCCTATATTACTTTAGTTGACCAATTTCTTTGAGAATGAGGCTTTTTTACCAACCAAATTTTCCCAGGTAATAAAGTTTATTTGTGAAGAAATGCAATCCAGACAGTAGTGTTTCCTCCATGCAGGAATTTCCTGTTTTATTTTCTAAGATTCTTATTTGCATATCACTGATTTGATTCATCTCAATACAGCATGTTTTCAAAATTATGTCCAACTAGGACCACAGGACAAATTCTGGAGGAGGAATGACTTATTCTGCAGCCCCTGCATTCTTCTGTATTGCTTTCCTTCTGGAAAAAGCTTTATTTTTTTTTATTTTTATTTTACTTTGGGTCTTTAAAACCTGGTCTCAAGCTGGGGATGTAACTCAGTGGTAAAGCATTTGCCTATCATGGCAAAAGCTTTGGGTTTGATACACAGTAATACTAAAAAAAAAAAAAAGAAAAAGAGACCAAAAAATACCTGTAATTGTGATGACTTGGGAGTCTGAGGTAGAATTGCAAATTCGAAGGCAGCCTGGGCAGTTTTTGAAGATCTTGTCTCAAAAGAAAAAAGAAAAAGGGTTGGGAATGCAGCTTAGTGGCAGAGGTCCCTCAGTTCAATCCTCAGGGAGGGGGACAGGGAGTAAATTTAAAAGCATATATAAAGCTATAATGCACCAATAACAAATGTAGGGGGGAAAAAAAGCAAAATTTTGGTTTCAGAAAGAAACCAAATGGGGCTGGGGTTGTAGCTCAGGGTAGAGTGCTTCCCTAGCACATATGGTGCACTGGGTTCCATCCTCAGCACCACATAAGAAAAAAAAAAAGTATTGTGTCTATCCACAACTACAAAATAAAATAAAAATAAAGAAACCAAACCAGTCATTTATAGTAAGAGTAAAGTAACTTACAAGACTTAATATCTTTTCCTTCCTCAAAGTATTTGGTCTTTAATGGAAAGCAAAATCTTATAACTAAACAAGAAAAAGAGAATCAATCCCTTAGGACATCAGGATTTAGCAAACACACAGAAAAGGTTTCTCTGGGTTAGACATCCATTTTATTCTATCTTGGTTTAACAATTTAAGGCCAATTTAAGTGATGGGCTGGATTCCAGGTATCTCCAAGACAATAAATTATAATAGCAAACATTTATTGGATGCTAACTATGTACTGGGTATCATGATAAGTATTTTATGTGTGGATTGCTATTTACCACTGCAATCCTATAAAAGGATTGTAATTATTATTCCATAGTACGGAGGAAGGTAGTTGAGACCTGAGAAGTCTTACCAAACCTGTAAAGCTGGTAGACAGTGAAGCCAAGGTATAACTCAGTCTGTGGGACTCCAGCACCCACATCATTTATAGCCCTGCTGGTCACCTTCCTAAGAGATCTAGGAAGGTTCTATGTCAACCCCACCCAAACCACCTAATTACCTAATAATTAAACTATGCCAACAGAACTTCATTTCTAATGTAGGATTTGTTATGAAAAATGCAGAAACATGAGAAAAGAACCTCAAGATGTTATCAGGTATTTCTACTTTGTTGTGAATACATGTGGAAGCAGCTCTGGGTTGAGGCACTGAGAATGAGGCACAGGACTCCAGGAACCTTGAGTCAGGCACGGGAAAGAAAATTAGATGAGGATGTAGTAGAGGTGAAGGAGAAGGTGACCTTGACCATGACAAGATTGCCACAGGCAATTCACCATGTGGTTTTCTATCTGGTCCTGGTCCAGTAAAATATCTTGAACATAGTGTTTCTGAGGATGGGAGCCATGGGCCCTCATTATAATACCTGTAAGCTTGCTTAAAATGCAGATTCCTGGGCCTCTTACCAAGTGACACTTCTTCAGGAAAGTATAACAACCACTGTTCTTATACCATGTAAGAGGGAAGAGAGTATCTTACAGATAACGCAGGGTACAGGCAGGAAAGGTGGGTCCAAATGGGGAGGTCTGGTTGCCCATCTCATCCCCTTGGAAATAATGGACTTGGGAAGCAGAAAAATTTGGTCATGTGAGAATCTAAGGTAATTATCTCTGCTGCCAACTGGCCACTTCTCTCTTTCCTGTTTCTCCTGAGTTTCTATCACAGTTGCTCACCTCAACAGAGCAGGATCTTCAGAGGCACAGAATTGTGGGTCGGCTGCTCCAGTTAACCAGTGGTAAAATGACCTCTTCTGCCTACACCCTGCCCTGCCTCTTCAGGTGAGGCTGCAGCTGATCCTGAGGACCATGAAGAGCTGCTGCAGGTGGAGCTTCGAACCCACCAACCGGTCAGCCACTGGGGTCTTGAAGTAGTGCAGAAGGTGCCCCAAAGGGGAAAAGATTCTTTTGTCAGTGCATAGAAAACCAACACTGAGAATGTGAAAGTT